GCCGTCGGGGCTGGAGCCGCAGCCCGGGGTCTTCGATTGCCTTCGGGACGCCATGGTGCGCGACTACGTGCGCCAGACGTGGAAGCTGGAGGTGAGAGCGGCCGGGGGGAGGGGAGGCTCGGAGTGGGGAGAGGGGTCCCCTTCGCCAGCCCGCGCTTTGCCGCGTTGCGTCAGGTTTGGAAGCTGGAGGGCTGGGCCCCGCTGGGAGTGGGCCTCCGAGGCGGGGCCTGAGCTGCGGGAGGGAAGGTGGAGGTAGCTCTGGACCGGTCCGGGCGAGGCTTGGGCGGAGTTGAGAGGAGGGTGGGTGCCCCGCCCTGGGTAGGGTAGGCCATGGGCAGTGGCCTTTGATCCCCAGCATTACGTCTGGGTGCTCGATTACCAGCTGGAGACCACTGGGGGCTCGGCCCTGGGTGGGCGGGGACAGGACGGAGGACGGGGAGCCGGGCTGTGCTCACCGGTGCGCCTGGGGGTCAGGGAGGGATCTGAGGGGAGAGGGGAGATGGAAACGGGGTTCCTGGCCGCACATTGCCGTCATTTGTACGTGCCCTTGACCCCCGTTCCGCAGGGCGAGGCCCTGGAGCAGGCCATCCTCAGCCAGGCGCCCCAGGTGGAGAAGCTCATCGCCACCACAGCGCACGAGCGGATGCCCTGGTACCACAGCAACCTGACGCGCGAGGAGGCCGAGCGCAAGCTCTACGCGAGCTCGCAGACCGACGGCAAGTTCCTGTATGTGGGCCTGGGGCTGGGGCCGGGGCTGGGCTGGGCTGGGGCGGCTCAGTGTGCGGCGGGCCTTCGGTGGGAAGGAGCCGCGGTGTTCAGGCCCCGTAGCGGGACCGCCTGGGCGGAATCCCGAGTCTGCCACTTGCCAGCTGGGTCGCGTGCAAGCAGGTGGACTTCCTCTCCTTCGCGCAGCAAACAGTGACTGCATACCTACTGTGTGCCAGGCACCGAGGACATGGCAGTGAATAAAGCAGACAGAGCCCTGTCCGTGTGGAGCAGGGAGACAAAACAGAGGAGCCAATAACTGCAGTGTGTGAGGAGGCAGGCAGTGCCGGCTCTACGGGGGAGGGTGGGATTAGGTGGCCAGGAATGGCCTTCGGAGCTAAGTAAGCTGTGAGCTCTCTGGGAGAAGGGGTTCCTGGCAGGTGGAAATGCGAGTACAAAGACTGTAGCCGGACCTCAGGGAGCCCTGAGCAGCCCCCCACAGCCTAGTCACCATCACACCCCGAAGGAGCTGCAGCGTGCAGCCGGCCCCAGTCACCATCGCCATTGCCGTCACCGTCACTGTCACCATCACTGCAACCATGAGCAGCAAGGCCGAGACCCAGCAGGCAGCCCAGACCCTATCATCACACGGCAACCGTGAGCAGCAAGGCAGCCGCCCCAGCCACCATCACCATCACCATCACCACCACCATCACCATCACCATCACCATCACCATCACCATCACCATCACCATCACCATCACCACAACCATCGCCATCGCCATCACCATCACCATCACAACCATCACCATCGCCATCACCATCACCATCACCACAACCATCACCGTCGCCATCACCATCACCATCACCATCACCACAACCATCACTGCAACCAGGAACAGTGAGGCCGAGACCCAGCAGGTGCCCACCGCCCCCACCCAGCACTGCCAACACCACGCCCAGCACCAAGGGCAGCGGTATAGGGAGCGGAGGCCCGGCCGGCCTCATATCAGTGATGCCTGCAGCGGGGACACCACCACCGCCATCGCCATCACCATCACCATCACAACCATCACCATCGCCATCACCATCACCATCACCACAACCATCACCGTCGCCATCACCATCACCATCACCATCACCACAACCATCACTGCAACCAGGAACAGTGAGGCCGAGACCCAGCAGGTGCCCACCGCCCCCACCCAGCACTGCCAACACCACGCCCAGCACCAAGGGCAGCGGTATAGGGAGCGGAGGCCCGGCCGGCCTCATATCAGTGATGCCTGCAGCGGGGACAAGAAGGTTGTGCACCGAAGGTTTTGGAGCCAGTAACGTGGTTCAGTGTAGGAAATGGATATGGCTCCATCGACAGGAACGGCACCAAGGCAGATGAGTTTGTACACCAGACTCCCATCAAGAAGATGGGAAGTCCCCAGGAAGTCCCTTCGCAGTGTAGGTGCTGGAGAGGCTGTGGCGTGTGATGCTGTTGAGGGAGAACAGGTGCGGAGGCAGCAGATGGCACAGCCCAGGTGGAGTTCCAGGGCAAGGCCGTCACTGTGCGGCAGACCGTGGCCGTCACAGACGCTCTCCAAGTGGCAGGCCCCTCCCCACAATGAGCAGCAGGATTCCCAGAATGGTGAGGGGGGAAAGAATGAGGGATCGGAGGGGCTCCCAAAGGCCAGGCCCGACAGTGCCGGCCCCCACCTTACCACACGCAGAACCCCTGTGGGCGTGGACCGCAGCATTCCAGCCCCCCTGCGCAGGAAGCAGGGGTGGAGGGTGCAGGAGAAGAAGGCAGATCAGTGAGGACATGTATGGGGCTATGGACCACGATGCTGCAGGGCCCTCCTCTTCAAAGATAGCCTAGAGCAGTGGTTCTCAGCCTTGGCTGGACATTAGAATCACCTGGGAATCTTTTAAAAATCCTGGTTTCTGGGCCTCATCCTTCGGAAATTCTGTTTCTTTGTTACTAATGTTGTGGCCCCACCCCATAACAAAGAAACAGAATTTCCGGAGGATGAGGCCCAGAAATCAGGATTTTAAAAAGATTCCCAGGCGATTCTCATGTGCAGTCAAGGTTGAGAACCACTGGCCTAGAAAGGCGGCCGTGAAGAAGAGAAGGAAAATCAAGGAGACGAGACCCAAGGTCAGCAGCCCCCTCAACGCCGGTGCCGCTGCAACTTCCATTACCCACGCGCAGAAAGCCCTAAACCACAAGATGGCAGAGAGACAAAAGCACTGATCCAGCAGCTGAGAATTCGTCCACTCCCGAGGCTGAGCAGGGTGCGGGGAGGAGGGTGTGGGTGGGAGGGGGCTCTGAGTAAAAGTGATGGCTACCATCTCTACCATCAAGAAGAAATGAATATGAAATTCCAGCAATAGAAATGAACGAATGATTGGAGCTGAAGACCTTAAGTGCTTGCTTTTTGCCGTTGACCAGATAACTAGAAGGATGTGCGTTGTCTGTGCAGCAGGGTTTTTATTATTTTTGTCTGAGGACATCTCTTTTAGATAATGACAATGTGTTTTTCATGGGGGAAAAAAGCCTGTTTTTTTTTTCAATATACCTTTAAAGGTTTTAAAATTGTTTCATATCTGGTCAAGCTGAGATTTTTAAAGAACCTCATTTCTAATTTGTAATAAAAGTTTACATCTTGATTTTTTCAAAAAAGTTAACAAATTGCAAGCACCTCCTAATAAAGGTCTTAAATAATTAGAAAGAAAGAAAGAAAGAAAGAAAGAAAGAAAGAAAGAAAGAAAGAAAGGGAGAAAAGAGAAAGAAAGAAAGAAAAAGAAAGAAGAAAGAAAGAAAGAAAGAAAGAAAGAAAGAAAGAAAGAAAGAAAGAAAGAAAGAAAGAAAGAAAGAAGAAAGAAAGAAAGAAGAAAGAAAGAAAGAAAGAAGACAGACTAGGAGGCGGGTTCTTGGCTAGTTCACAAAACAGGAAGGAGCCGAGCGCTTGGAAGGAAGTGAGGTCTGAGTGTCTCGGGGCCTCAGGAATTAATGTGTGTGAAGTAGGACAGTGTCTGGCATGTACATGAAAGTGTGCCAAGTGGTAGCTCTTACTGCATGTGCGTGAATGTGTGTCTGCCCACGTCTGAGTTGCCGCTGAGCCTGTGGCTGTATTTGTTACTGTGAGAGAAGCTGTGCAGCTATTTAAATAACCCTGCTGGGTGTTTGAAAGCCCTCTGGCACTGCACTCTGGTTTGGACCAGGTCCCTTTGTATACAGCTGTTATCCAGATGTCAGCTGAGGTCACGCTGGCCGTGAGCGCCCTCAGGAAGTCCAGCGCCCTCCCCACCATGTCTGTGAGTTCTCCAGGCCTCGCTCCTCAGGCCCGAGTCCCTGCAGGGCTGAGTCCTGGCTCTCACGCCCTCTCCTAGGGCTGTCCCTCTCCTGGGACCAGCCCGCAGACCCTGGACCTCCCCGCCGTGTGTGGTCTCTGCGTGGGCACCAGGTTGCCTGCAGGTCTCCCACAGGGTGCTGATTCCAACACAGGATGTTGTTGTCAGCCGATAAAATTAATTTTTTCACCCTAGCAGACTTCGGATAAAATTGCAGTAAAGTTTCTAAGGCTTCGGAGGGAACTCTTGAATGCATGTTACAGATAATGCAAGGCAGGCCTTAGAACAGTATCAGACAGGGCTGTTTTCTCAGGGAAACAAAAGCACTTTGCATTTGTATCGGTTACTGTTTGCTATGTAACAAACTGCTCAAGACCTACTGGCTCCAAACAACATTTTTTTAAATTGTCACAATTCTGTGAGTCAGCTGAGCCATTTTCTTTGAGGCTGGGACTGAACACGTTGGGATGGCCATGTCATGTGTCTGGCTATTGGCCCCATGTCCCCTGGGTGATGGGAGGCACTGGCCGCAGTGCTGTCACTGTCCAGCAGGCTAGCCTGGGCTTATGCAGTGGTGGTGGCTGCAGGGTTCCCACGAATAGTCACAGAGGGAAAGTGACGATACACAGGCACTTTTAAAAAAATAATTAAATCTTTATTGTTCAGATTATTACATTTGTTCCTCTTCCCCCCCCATAACTCCCCTCCTTCCAGTTCCCACCCCACCCTCCGCCCTCACTCCCCCCCCACTGTCCTCATCCATAGGTGCACGATTTTTGTCCAGTCTCTTCCCGCATCTCCCACACCCCTTCCCCCCCCAAGAATAGTCAGTCCATTCCCTTTCTATGTCCTTGATTCTATTATGATCACCAGATTATTTATTCACTTGATTCTTAGATTCACTTGTTGATAGATGCATGTTTGTTGTTCATAATTTATATCTTTACCTCTTCTTCTTCCTCTTCTTAAAGGATACTTTTCAGCATTTCATATAATACTGGTTTGGTGGTGATGAACTCCTTTAGATTTTCCTTATATGTGAAGCTCTTTATCTGACCTTCAATTCTGAATGATAGCTTTGCTCGATAAAGTAATCTTGGTTGTAGGTTCTTGGCATTCATCACTTTGAATATTTCTTGCCACTCCCTTCTGGCTTGCAAAGTTTCTGTTGAGAAATCAGCTGACAGTCGTATGGGTATTCCCTTGTAG